AAATATTCTGAAACCAGAATTCTTCTCTGGCAGTATTCTCTCATCTAGACCACAATATGTGCTCTTAGATATGTGTTACATGCACACACACATATGTACATACCTCACAATCATGGGGTTTTTTTCCACAATAATTAAACAAGCACAGCATGAAATTAAATAGTAGCCTGCTTCAGTGAACAAACTGTTCTATCAAACCAAAGTTCTTTCATCTACTTCTTTAATTAGTTTTAGAAAGGGGGAAAGAGCTTTTATCACGTCTTTTTTTTCAATAAAACTAATCTAGTGTGACATATTTTGCATTCAACAAATTACTGTATTTGCCGTTTGAAAGAATCCATTTGGTTCCTCTTAATGAAAACAAGGAGTTTTATGTGAGAATATTTTTACACTGAGGAAAATTGTATTTTTTTCAGTTGTTTCATCTATAATTTGAGGATTAGAGATAAGTGGCCCCATTATATTCCCTCTATGCAAAATCTTATATAGAAAAGACAAGTCCTTTTTCCCTAAATTAATACTTCTCACTGAGGGCTTCCAAAACTTTCTTGACCAAGAAAAACATGATATGACATGATTATCTTCAGAATCAGTTAGCACTATTTCCAGTATGAACAAAGGGGTCCATACAGATTGACACCAAGCACTTTCATCTCTTGTTTTCATATAGAATGACTATTTGGCCTGCCAGTTGTTGAAAGAGCCTTCAATCTCACGGGATAAGTCAAGAGAGATGGCTGGGGGTAGCAGGAGGCAGCAAAAAACCTCATGTTTTTCAGGAATGTGTTCAAATGTATGATTTTATTATCACAGTACTACTACCCTTATGTGAATTGAATTCAATCCAATTGAATTATGCTTAACTGGAAATTTACAGTGAAAGACAGGATTCAGCTGAAGTGTCCTTATTCTAATACTAATCTTAGTCCTTTGTCAGTTACTGAAATCGAGCAAATTAAAATCTGTGCCTCTCTTTGGAAGAGCAGAGGTGAATGAGTAGTGGGAAAGAAAGTAGGAGAGGAAACAATGTTTGCCACTCTCGGGGAAAAATTCAACTGTTTTATTGTGATTTCATTTCATGCTGTGCTTGTATAACTCCTGGTTAGGAAGTACGTGTATTTGTAATCAGTGACAGCATTTGGCACATAGCATGTTTATTTTATATCGCAATTATATTTATATGCTAATGTATTCATTCATGATACTGTTATCTATGGAATCAGATCAAGAAAGGCTGTAGGGAATAATGGAGAGTATTGTATTTGCAATCTGGAAAGAGTAAATTCAAGCTCAGCTCCAACTTTGCCTTACTGTGCAACCCTGAGCGAGTCATTGAACTGCTCTGAAGATCAGTTTTCTCCTCATAAAAAGTGAGTCATAACTACCTGGCTTACTGTTTACCCATGAGGAATACATTTTATAATCTTAAAGCGACATGTAGCTGGGAGCTCCTCTTGTCAAAGTGGGATTTGCTCAGTGTCTCTGGGAAAGGCCATAGTATTCAAACAGGCAGGAATGCATTGGTGAAAAGTGAGATAATTGTCATCTTTATGCTTCGTCCAGCACTGGTCACAAATGATAACACTGTGTCCACAAAGATCCCAACAGGATTGCAGGCTCAGTTACTCTTCTGTATAGACTTGAAACTTCAATTGGGTAGGTTATGACCAAAGCTGGAAATTAGCCAATACTGACAATGATCAAGAAATATTATTATTATAACAAATAGCTAGTATTAATATACCCTATGAAAATTTAAGATTTGCAAAGCATTTTTTTACATATTATTTCATTTGATCCTCACAATAGCCCTGAGAGGCAGGTGCTATTATAATAATACCCATTTTGTAGTTGAAGAAACTGAGCCAAACAGGTTTAGTGACTTGTTCAGTGTCACATAACCAGTAAGTGCCTGAGGTTAGATTTGAACTCAGGTCTTCCTGAGTCCAAGTCCAATACTCCAACCACCGTACCACCTCCCTGCATTTGTAGTTTGACTCTTGTAAACTTACAGTATATTTTTGTCATCATGTGATTTTTTAAAAATATTAATTTTATTTAAATAAAATGTTATTCCTAACAATGAGATTTCACAGTTATGTGCCAGGTAACTCTAGTATTAATTCTTAAGTGAAATAAACATTCACAAACTTCTGGTGATCAACCGAAAATAAAAATAACGCCCAAGCAAATATTATCTTATTTTTTCCCAACTCTCTCATACATGTTACAGTTCCTCTTATTTTTCAAACATCAATGTCTTTTGTAGCATATCTTGCTGGAATTTGTTTCACAACAGAGTAAGCCCAGAGAGGAAATACCTAGATTTCATTTTTGTTTAGCCAGATTCTTGGTATTATAAATCAAATGGCCTAGAAAGAAGTCATATGTTCAATTGTCAAGAAGTCAACCAATGTAGAGAGGACTCTACCTTGGCAGACAAGTAATCCTGCCTCTGCCAAAAAAAAAAAAATCACCCCACCTCAGAATTCCAAGTGATTCCCAGGTCCTCTAGTTCAATCTTTACCCTTGCTGGAATTACCTCTATTACATTCCCAACAAGTAGTCATCCAGCTTTCACTTGAAGACCTCCAGTGAAGAGGAGCAACAACCCTGAAAGGCAGTTAGTTCCCATCTGAGACAGCTAAAACTTTCAGGAAATTATTTATGTTGAACCCAAAGTGCTACCCCACTAACTTCAACCCATTATTACTAGTTGTTCTCCCCACTAGGACCAAGTAAAACAAGTCAATTCTCTCTTCAACATGATATTCTACATATTTGAGGATAGTTCTCATGTACCCATATGTTCTCTTCTTTAAGCTAACCCCCCCCATTCCTTCAACTAACTGTTGTATGGCATCATCTCAAGGTCCTTCATCTTCTTGACCATCCTTTTCCAGAATCACTCCAAGTTCATGACATTACATAGGATCATAGTTCTAAAGTTTGAAAAAACCTTAGAATTCATCTAGGTCAGGTCTTCATTTCATAGACAAGGAAACTAAGTGTGGGAGAGGTTACCTGAATTGTCAGAGGCCACAGAGGAAGCAAGTGACAAAACCAAGATCCAAACTCGGGGATTCTGATGTCATTGTCCATCTTAAAATGTATGTCCAGAGCAGACTGCAATGGATTTTCTATATCTATTGAGCTGGAAATTATGCTTCAATAGTCTAAGATAGCATTAACTTTTTTGCTTGGCCCCCTAGACTTTCTCTGCCATGCCTCCATATCACCCCATGCTTTCAGCTCTTCCTTCCACCACCCATTTGAGCTTCATTTTATGTGTTGGCTTTCCTCATTAGGATGTAATGCTTTTAAGGGCAGGGACTGCTTCTATTTGTATTTGTTGTATTCCCTGCACTTAGCACATAGTAAACACAATAAATGCTAGTTAACTTATTTTTTTTATACTGCTGACTTTTAAAATTTTTTATTGAGATCTTACGTTTGGCCAATAATCTTCTTTTCCAAATATACTCCTTTTCCCCTTCTCTACTCAGAGAGCCACCCTTCATAAACAAATAATTAAAAAAAGAGAGAGAAAGAAAAGAAGGAAAAATCAGTTCAGCAAAGTTAACCAGCACATCAACCAAACATGGTAGTATACTCAGGGTTCCTTATTGACTGGCCCCCAGTTCTGCAAAGAAAGAAGGGAAGCACATTTTCTCATTTCTTCTTCAGGGCCAAGCTTGGTCATTATAATTGCATCATAGTCAGTTTCTTTTTGTTGTTGTTCTTTCCATCTGCATTATTAAAGTCACTGTGCATGTGGTTTTCATGGTTCTGATTATTTACATTTTCATCAGTTCATATAAGTCTTTCCATTCTTCTATGTATTTTTCATAGTCATTTTTTTTTATAGAACAGTAATATTCCATTACATTTATGTTTAGACATTACTCAGTAGCCTGGCATCTACTTTGTTTCCACTTCTTTGTTACTACAAAAATATTTTGGTACATATGAGATCTTTTTATCTATCTTTGACTCCTTGGGATACATATTTGACTGCTGTTTCAGAATAGTAAGTAAACCTGCAATTCATTGGTGGTGTAGAGAACTTCCAACTGAAGAAACTCTCTCAGCCAGTGCAGATTGTGGCACATATTCTGCAACTTAAAGTCTTAAAGAGTTAGTTACTCAGGGCACTGAGAAGGGCCTTGCAAGGCAGCTAGACAGTGCAATAAATAGAGCATTGGACCTGGAGTCAGTAAAAACTGGAGTTGAAATCCAGCCTTAGACACTTACTAGCTGTATGATCATGGTCAAGTCACTTAACCTCTGTCTGCCTCAGTTTCCCTCAACTATAAAATGGAGATAATAAAAGCACCTACCTCATAGGGTTGTTGTGAGGATCAAAAGAGATAATATGTACAAAGGTGCCTAGCACAATGCCAGTGCATAATAAGCCCTATATAAATGCTGATTTCCTATGCTTTCCCTCCAACCTGGTTACCTGGCCAGTATGTGGCACAGGAAGAACTTGACCACAGGTCTTCCTGAATCAGAAGCCAGCTTCCCGTCCAGCATGCCATACTATTTAATACATGTTTATTGACTTTCTGACATAGATAACAGTGCGAGCAAAAGTACAAAGGTAGGAAAATATGGAGTGCATGTGGGAAATCACAAGGCATGATCCAGCTTGGTTGGAATATTGAGTGGATAATGGGGACAAGTGTGGCATAAGAACAATAGGGTAGACCAGATGAGGGCGGGGGAGGGGGGTTGTTTGAACTTTCTTTGGTAGGTAATAGGAAGACATTAAACATTTTTGAGGAGAAGAGTGACATGACACTATAGATTACCCCCGGTGCAAATTGGTGGGCGTCTGGTAGGCAGAGTTTGAAATCATACAAGAACTCAGGCCAGAAAAGAGTGATCAAGGATAGGAGAAGACTAGAATAAATAGACTTGAAAGAGAGATAACATGAAAAGATCAGTGGTAGAAATTCTGTGGCTACATGGAACAGAGCAAGGGCTTGTCATCTTACCTTTAAAGAACCTCTTCTTATTTAATGGTTACATCTTCCAGTTTTTTAGAAGCAGGGTCCCTAAATCTGATTCCTCTTCACTGGCTCACTCTTGTGGATTGAGTAGGTCCCTGGATGGACACTGTTATATGTGTTAGAGAAGAAATGTTTTCAGAGTGGGATATTTCCCAAGTTGAAGGCAGAGTAGTAATCCATTTGGGGACCTGAGAGCAGAGATAGGTTCTTAAGGCCTAACAAACAGGGATCCAGAAGCAAAAATGGAACTAGATACTTAGCTGAAATTACTTGGGTTTAGGAATTCATAGATACCTGTTAGAATTGGTCTCAGAGTGTAAGTCAGTGTCAAGAATTGCCTTGCTCCTAAGCCTCTCACTCCCTTACTCTACCTAAATTTATCTACTTCCTTCCATCTCAAGGTTCAGGCCAACCTACATGTCAATTCTAACCTTAGGAAGGTTGTATACAAGGAGTGTTTGTCTCAAAAGATATTGATGAATTGAGAGCAAGAAGCCTAATTCTTGCTTGTGATATCCCCATGCTTCTTTCTCAGACCCTGTCCCTGGCTCCTGATTTAATCCTGCCCACTCTTTGGCCTAATCTCTTGACCCTCTGCTCTCTACAATCTCTTTCACATTTAGTCCTTGATTATTATTCTTATTCTATACCTTTTTTCCTACCTAGACACATGGAATCTGCCTCTTCTCCATCCCTTAGCTGCCTTCCTGGACTTGAGCTCTGACTTTTGGGAGCTTATTGGACTTACCATTGAGCCTTTTTTTAACTATCTCAATTTCTAGTCCAAGCTTCCTTGCTTTACCCAGTCCTATAGCCACCCAAATCCTGGCATTACAGTGGTGAGACCACTGTGAAAGAGGGGCCAGCTGGCCAGAGTGAGGGATGAGAGAGTGATTTCTGACACAAGGTGAAGTGAAATTGATTTCTGTTACATAAAGTATTCATCTTCACATTACATGTAAGTCATTGTGAGAGGGGAGGTGTCCATTATATCACACCTCACACAATGTGTATCACAATATACCTCCTCCATGGGCACTGAAATTCAGTCTACAGGAGAAGTAGTTTTTATTCTTGTTCAGTCTGATTTCTACTGAGTTACGTGATGAATTTCATCATTGGTTGTTTTTCAGATATGTGACTTATATTTTCCAATTCCTGCCTGTTTTTCATACTTTAAAAGCAACTTCATGAGCAGTTTTTTTTTTCTTTTTGCTTCTCAAGGTTGGGTGGAGATTTATGTTGTTTCCTTATCATATTTTTTTAGTTTTATGCAGATGAGAAAAAGTCTATCCAGTCTGGGATTCATTTTTCTTAAGCTGGATGTTTATTTGGCAGTATTGTTCTTTCCTTATTTGAAGAGTTCTTAGACCTCAAGGAATGAATATCTGTAAATGTAAATGCAACATAGTCTTCCCTTCCCCCACCTTAGTTATTATCTAGCCAAGAAAGCCACATTTTAGTTCTTTCCCCATAAATCAAGCCCCCAGCTCTTTAACTCTTCATTTGCCCTTCTACGAATTCCCTTCAGTATGTGAATGCATACCTCAGCCTTGCTCAGAGCTAACCAACAAGTTGTCATTTGAGGCCCTATGGTGGTGACCTGTTAGATTTATGGACCTCTTGTTAGATTGCTTTCTATGTCTGACCCCATTCCATGAAATATTCACATTGCCTAATGTTCACTTAACATATATGATCTTTTCCTTAAGAAGAGTTTTGTTTATATGTATTTTACCTAAATCCTAGTTTCCTATCGCAAAGGAATATCACTTTCTCTGAGCCTTTTTTTTTTACTAAGATAACAATAATACCTGTCCAATCAACCTATTAGGGTTGCCTTGAGATGGAAATGAGAGAGTGTGTGTGTGTGTATATATATATATATATATATATATAATCTGTGTGTGTATGTATATATATGTATATATGTGTGTGTGTATACATATATATGAAAGCACATTTTTATAGTTTTGTATACTTTTCAAGGTTTTTTTTCATATTTGCTCTGATATGGTTTTGTCACATTTAAAGTATATTAACCGGCATATATATGTAAAGGTTAAGAAAAGCAGTGGTTTCTGAATATTAACATATCTTTTCTCAAATTAGTAGTAGTTTATTCATTTAATAAATGGCTGCTGCCCTCAGTTCTGGTAGTCTGATAATGAGATAAATTATGCTTGTGGCTGTTCCTTTGTTCCCAAATCTAACTTTTGGTTCTGTTAATATGTTGTATAATGTGCCAGCATGGCCCATCACTGCCACAGATTAAAACTTCTCTCTGTCTTATTACACCACATGAGTAAATTGCCGTGACCAAAAAATTTCTTCACCCAGTGGCCAACTTTCCGTTGATGAGAAGGTCTATGAGGTTCCTTCCAGCTCCAGAGCTATAATTCTAGAATGGATATCTTCAAACTTAGCTAGGCTTGTCCTCAAATTGTGTGTGTGTGTGTGTATGTATATATATATATATATATACACATATATACACACACACACCCAGGCTATCAAAGTAACTGGGTTCAAATTCTGGTCTGGCCACTTGTTACCCTGTGTCACCTTGGGCAAAACACTTAACTTCTCTGTCCCTCAGTTTCTCCATCTAGAAAAGTAGTGGCTTGGGCCAGATGGCCTCTAAGGAGATATCCTCCTTCCAGTTCTAAATCTATAACCCTTTGATCCTCTCCTTCAAGGAGAGGACCTGTCAGAGATTATGTCCCACTAGCATAGCCTTTGAAAACCTAGAGTCACCTCCATGCCAGCATAAAGCATCCAAAAGAGTTGAGGATTTTGTTTCATAATTGCTCTTTTAAAAATTCCATTCAACAATGGTGATAGAATGGTTCTGTTTTCAAAAGGATCATGCCAATTTGCCCTTAAGAGAGTTGAGTAAAGAACAAGTCTGAAGACATTGTTTTCATTCTATTCTAAGAATCAAATAAGTACAGTAGAGGCATTGTGGAGGGAGGCAGCTAAGAGGCATCACTTGAATTCAAGACCCTGAACCCTGCCTTAAATGGGACTGGCATGGCACTGGATAAGCCACTTTAAACTCTCTGGGCCTCAGTTTCCTCATCTGTAAAATGGGATAATAGCACCCTCATAGGGTTTTTGTGAGAATCAAATGAGATAGCATATGTAAAACTCTCTGCAAACCTTAAAGCACTATATAAATGCTATCATTAGTAGTAGTTAAAATATTAGTAGTAGAAAAAAAAAAGCACTGGACTTAGTGTCAGGAAAAGTCTCATTCTGAATGCTGGCTTGTATTACTTATTAGCTATGTGTTCCCAGGCAACTCATTTATGATCTCTGAGCCTCCATTTCCTCTTCTGGAAAGAGGAGATAATAATCCTTATAGGGTTGCTATGGGGGAAGTACTTTTTTAAAGAGTCATAGAAATGTGAGCTGCAGCTACAAGTAGAGAATAAATGCTTTGATTTTTGGAATGCTGATGTAAAGTGCTCTCTATGAATACATGAATTGAATGAAGGAAGGAAGGAAAGAAAGGAGACTAATACAATCCACCTGTGGGCTAAGTCCAAAAGTTAGGCCTTAATTTTACAGTATTTTTATAATATTCCTCAATTGTGACCCTTCCCAGTAGTTGTTGAACATCTAAAGGATACTAATGAACAACACCTATTTTTCTTTTCTTCCAGGGAAATGATATTGACCCTGAGGCAGTAAAAGGTGAAGTGTTAAAAGTGGGAAATAAGAGCTGTGAGAATATCCGCTTGCACTCTGAAGCAGTCTTATGTACGGTCCCCAACGACCTGCTGAAACTGAATAGCGAGCTAAATATAGAGGTGGGATTCCTGAATTACTTTCATGTTTATTAATAAGGATGCCACTGTAATTATGTCACTTGCTGCCTTAAAATACATCCTACAAGCTCATTTGTATGTTAACTTAAGTTCAGCAAGGCAGCCTGGATTCTTGGTTGTGACTTGACAAATAGTGAATTTTGGTTATATTGTCCCCCTACCAGTTAAGCTCATTTTCAGGAGGCCTGGCTGAGGCAACTTTTCCAAACAGCAAATAATAAGATTTCCCAAACAATAGCAGGATCTGTCAGCATATCTCAAAGTCTCATTAAATAGACGACCTCCACAAAGTCTTATTTAGTAGATGACTTCCTAGCTAGTTCCTGACAGTCTAGATCAGCCACCCCCCACTATATTCTTCTCTCTGTAGATTTCTGAGATGTACAGCAGAGAGGGCCATAGATTCTCCTCATAATTCCCCTCCACAGACCTCTCCTAGTATACCATTTTCTCCCATCCTATTCCTTTAGCATATTCTAAATTATATTATAGCTTTTTCAATGTATTTTATCACTCCTATTAGATTATAAACTTTGAGGGTAAAGAGCATTCCAGGCTATGGAGGACCTTGAATGTCAGCCTAAGATTAGCATGAATTTGGCTGCTAACATATCCTCATCTCTAACTCCAGCCATCTCAACATGCCCAGGAAATTAAAATCAGCCTCTCACAAAAAATAATAAAAAACAAAAAGAGTTAGGAACCACCGGGAAATAGCATTAAGATCATGACTACACAGTTTTAATTATAAAATGGAAATTTTATATTTATGCAATTAATTTATTCTCAGCAAAGAGGGTGAATGTATAAAAGCTCTTAAAATATTTTAAAAAAGCAACAAACTGAATAAATGTTAAGAAAGTAAGAAAAAAATCACTAAAATTCAGCTTATGCTGTCCTAGATTGGAATTCAGTAGCCCTAAGTCTTTCCAAGCAAAGTATCTGGACTGGACTTGAGATTTTATTGGTGTGAGCATCTCTCAGGTGAGGAAACTCCCTCTACCAGTATAGGTCAGTGGTTTCTCTGCAACTCAAAGTCTTGGAGAGTTGCCTAGAGCACTAAGAAGTTAAGTGACTTTCCCAGAGTCACACAGTCAACATGTGACCAAAAGCCCAGGAATCCCTGGCTTCAAAGCAGGTTCTCTATCCATTACTCCATGTTGTTAATAAACACATTTCTCAAGCTTCTACAATGTGCAAAGCATTGTGCCAGCTACCAAAGGAAATTCAAAAATAAATGAGAGTGCTGATAATCTAGTAAGAGAAAGAAGAAAAAATAACTTAATATAAAAATAATATATAAATTCATAGGAAAGGTTACAAAAGAGAGTGCTCTGACAGCTCTGAAGGGGGAGGGATTACTTCCCTTCTGAGTAGATGAGAGAAAGCTTCCTGGAGAAGGTAACAATTGGGCTGGACCTTAGAGGATAGATTACATTTCAAGTAGGTGAGGATTATGGAGCAAATATTTTCCAGGAACAAGGATAGTACATGAGAAAGGTGGGAGGGGCACAAAGAGAAGAAAGTACAGTGTAATAAGTTCAAGGGTGGTAAATGCATCCAGCAGGAACAGGCATAGAAGACCTTAAAAAAAAAAAAAGGTGACAGGCTAGAAAATAAGATCATAAAGAGCCTTGAATGTCAGACTAAGGATTTTATATTTTATTTGCTAGGCAAAGGACAGCAAGTAAAGGGATTTGAGCAGGAGGGTTACCTGACCAAAGCTGTAAACCTTTATCATTTTTTGAGCTGTGATGCCAATACACAATGATGATTTAACAACATATAAAATGCAAATAGGCCAAATAACACATAATCCAATATAGTCTTTAAGTTCATAAGTTAAACTAAGGCACTTTGGAGATATACATTCAATGACTTACTTATGAAGACTGAAGAAAAAATTGATGAAACCTACCTTCTTAAGTCTGAAGAAGATAATGCCATTGCCAAAAGTAATTACGGTAATGCTCATGTACCACATTACATCCAGAAATAATCAGCTCAGCTCATCGAATATATTGTAAACAAAATGCCATGTACATTATGCTATTTCTTTATTTCTTTGTTGTAGTGGAAGCAAGCAGTTTCTTCAACTGTCCTTGGAAAAGTGATAGTACAACCAGACCAAAATTTCACAGGACTCATTGTTGGAGTTGTCTTGATATCATTGGTGCTCTTTTTATTACTGGGGCTTTTTCTGTGGCTGAAAAAGAGGAAGCAGATTAAAGGTGCATCTTTTTTCTTTTCTTCTTTTTTTTAAAGAGAGAGAGGAAAAACCTTTAGGAAGTTAATTCCATTTCAGACAGTCTTCATATTTACAGCAGTGTTCCTCAAAGCTGTATATGTTCTCCCCCTCCAAAATGTTAATGAGAACTTAATGCTTGTATCAAAAACAGCCTACATTTAGTTTTGGAGTTTATCATCATTGACCCAGGATACAGAAGTTTTTAACAAACTCTTTCTTTTCTATTTGTTTTAAGATCTGGGCAGTGACTTAGTTCGCTATGATGCAAGAGTACACACTCCTCACTTGGATAGGCTTGTAAGTGCCCGGAGTGTAAGCCCTACCACGGAAATGGTTTCAAATGAATCTGTAGACTACAGAGCAACTTTTCCAGAAGGTATATATCAGTTTATTGTTCTGAGAAATACCTATTAATGCACTTCAGTGTGGGGGTTTTTTCCCAGCTTCTGCATGCAGCCTTCCTGCAAGAATTTGATGGATTTTAATTTGGAACCAGACCCATGTCTCATTACATTTTTAGGGCTTTTCAAGCTGTTCTCCCCCAGAAAAGTGAACCATGAAATCACAAGGGAACAGGTATTTCATTTATTTTTGAGAAGTACACTAAAAAGTTGTAAGGCTTCTCTAAACTAAATTAGAAGCATTAGGGTATACAATGTGGCTAGAGAGCTGGTCTCAGAGTCAGGAAGACCTGGGCTCAAATTTCCCATAGAGGTCTTGTGATCTTAGGCAAGTCACTTAACTCTCTAAGTTACATAACCTCTGTAAATTACAGAGCATTTGCTGATTTCAGCGGGCAAAGGGAGTTATCTCAAATAACAGATCCCATTTTTTTTTCTTTAATTGAACAAACTAAGTCAGGAGAGGCAAGATCAAAATGCACATTTTGGTCAAATGTAACTTGCCACTACTTGTCCTTTTCTTTTAGCCATATATAGGAATGTAAACATGCACACAGTTCCCTCAAGGCATCCATAACAACCACTATGATTTATTAAGTGCCTAGCATGTGCAGAGCACTGTGCTAGGGCCTAGGGGAGTACAGTATACATATAAGAGATAGTTCCTTTCCTCAGGGAGCCTGCTGTCTAGGAGGGTGGATAACAGACTTCAAACCTAGCACCTAAAGTATTCCATGACTTTTAAGTCTATTTTGAGGTCTAATCCAGAACAAACATCTGGTTGTGCTGAAAAATATAGAAATGTTTAGCATCATTGGCTTCAAAAAAAAAATACTGTTACCAAATAATGGCCAAATTAACTGGAGCATTTCACATTGTTTAACTTAAAATATGTTGGCAAAAGTACAGTCTCTACATTTTATCAACTTTATTACCTTTAGAAGTTTCAGGATATGAGTCAACTGTGAGCATTTTCCTGGTTGAATATTTACCACTGGACAAATATAGTGAATCAGACTTAGAAAATACTTGCAAATCTAGAAACTGCTCAACAAGTCAAAGGGTGATAGTACTAAAGCAACTCATATCTTTATTATTTTACAAGAATTACCTGATATTTTGAAAGTTTTATTCATTCACCCATGTAAGACTAACACAAAGCATTATTGCATTATTTAATATCATGCATGACTTTTGCCCCATGTAATTCCATGTATGAAACTAGCTGCCATGACAACTTGCTGTCATTTATTTTGTATGAACAGGAATGCTACATTATGCTTTTATTTTAGTAGACCAGACTTTGCTGTTTTATTTTTGTTGTTCTTCTATTGTAAGAAAGAAAATTAAAATCCACAGATAATCCCAAAGACTTATTTTGACCCAGTTTTAATGTCCTTTTCCAGCCAAAACTTTTATCATAACACTTTGTTTCAAATGCTTTAACCTTAAATGTTTGTCTCATCTTTTATTCATCTTATCCACTGTTTAGTATTATTTAAAAAAATAAAATAGCCAACTGACAGGATAATCCACAATCAGCTCCTGAAAACTTGAATTGACTATGTTGCAGTCATTGGAACAGCAAATAATTCCCCTTGTATTCTACCAGTGGGGACACACGTCAAAAGTCAGAGGACTTTAACCTAACCGAAGAACCAATGAGGCATTCCATGCCAGAAAATTTTTCTCTCAATGGCTCAATGATTTGTCAGTTTCAAACAGTCTCTGAAGTCTAGAAGTCTAGATTCAGCAGCAAACCCCTGATCCATAATGTAAAAATTATCCCACTGCTAAAGGCATAAGACAGCTGCTCCGATTGCCAGCTGCAAATGAAACTCCAATCCATAGACTCAGCCTGTAGTCTCAGACCAACATCAGATGAAATGCTTGAAACATTCATAGCAGAACGGAGGGGCGGTCTTGAGAAGAACTGTTAGTCTCCAGGTCCAGTGGGGAGGTTCTACATCCTGGATCCCTAGGAATTTGGGAGATTCCTTTCTAATCTAAGCCCATCTATTCCCATTTCCTCCTCTCCTTGCTTTTTTGAGTTAATATGATTCCAATATTCCTGTTCTGCTACTTCCACATCTGCCTTCCAGTTTGACAACTTTTCTGGCTACAGCATCTCTTGCTCCCTTGGACCACTGGTCCAGAGCAGATGTGATCAAAATGACCCATGTGGAAAATATTGAAATGTGTAGAACAGAGTGGAATGAGGCAGTATTCTATCCCATTTCTTGTCAAGAGGGCCTAACATCAATACTCTACCTTTCAGCAGCTAAGACTAGACTATGTATAAAACAACCCATATCCTTATTTTTCCAGTGAAACACTATTCAGGCTATCCCAAAAGTCTTAGTGTAATTTTGGGTTTTAATAGATTAAAATTATTAAAGATAAGCTAATACTTATAGTGCTTACTATGTGACAAGCAGTATGCTAAGCTCTTTACAGTTATTATCTTATTTGATCCTCAAAACAATCCTGCAAGATAGGTGCTATTATTATCCCCATTTTACTGGAAACTGAGGAAACAGGGGTTAAGTGATTTGCAGCAACTAAGAGTCTAAGGCAGGACTTGAACTCAGGTTTTTCTGACTCTAGGCCATCCATTGCACTACCCAGCTGCTCCAAAGCTATTCAAAGGCTTAAACCGCACTAAGACTTTTGGAACACCTTTTATAAAGCCATCTTTATTTATTTATTTTTGCCCTTCTTCAAGAATTATTTATCCTGCTCATTGGCAAACAATGTACATTTCCTGTTGGTTTCAATATCCTAATTATGGAAGTGCCTGGGTAGCTGAGTAGAGCGGGAGATGATGAAAAGAACATTGCACTCGAGAGTTCAGAAATGTAGACCTATCTCTGCCACCTCTTAGATGCAGGACGTTGAACAAGTCACTTAGCATCTTAGATTCTCAGCATCATCCCCGGCAAAATGAGATTAACACCTGAATCCTTTAAAAATGGATCATAATGAGACCAAGCCTGCGAAAACATACTGTTAAGCACTATAGAATTATACGGTTCAAATATTATCATCTTTAGATCAAGATTCCCCCACCCTTATCTTATCATTCCTTTCACAACTGTCTCCTTGATTTGCTAGAAGGGAAGCAAGCTTCCCAGCTGGGAAGGGCATTCCTTCCACTCAGAGACTTTATTGTCAGTACATTCCTTTTGCTTCGCTGACTGCTCCCCAGGAACTCACTGCCAGCAGCCCCACCCCCTCACTCAGGGATTTCAGTGTACACACACAGAGAGAGAGAGAGAGAGAGAGAGAGAGAGAGAGAAGAGAGAGAGAGAGAGAGACTCTGTGTGTGTGTGTGTGTGTGTGTGTGTGTGTGTGTGTGTGTGTGTGTGGATCTCAAGGCTCTAGGGAAGAGTAGCTTCTCTTCACAAAAAGTTTTAGGAGCCCCTACCCTAACCCCTTATGGGCTCCTCCCTGAGAGTGAGAACTGGGTCTTAAAGATAATTGGGTAAGGATCTCTTAAAATTTTGTTTGGTCTATTTTTTCTCTAGGGAGGGATTTTCAAGTGCATTTAACTTGAACATAAGAGAGAGGCCCAGGTGGTAGGAATACCAGACAAAGACAGTTTTAACCTGTCTTTTCTAACATTGACCCTGAACGCTACCTCATAATGGAGGAGTCACCACTGAGGCAGGCAGTTCCCAAGTGTATGGATCTGTCTGTCAGATTTCTTTCCAATAGATTCCACTGTCCTTTTTTTTCTTTCTGTCTTTTTAAATTTATTTTATTTTGTCATTGGCTGGGAGTGAGGTTTTGCACTTAAAGGGATTTGATTCCATTGATAAAACAATAATTCAACCAAAAGATGTTTTTTTTCCTTTTCCTTAGTGTAAGCTAGACTGTTGCAAGATAAGAAAATTGCCCAATTCTGTTTGCATATATAATATGTATATTATTTGTTAGAGTTTCTCAATGTAGTAGTTACCTCTAGTAAAACTCTGGCTCATTTTCCGTCAGTTTGATATGGCCACTCGGAGGAGGTAGTGTGTAGTAGAAATTGGAAGAGCCTGAGCTCTGGAGTTCATATTCTACCTCTTACATTTATTACCTGGGTGACAAAATCACCTGACTTCCTTGACCTCAGTTTCCCCACAACTAAGGGAGGGAGCTGGACTAGATGATCTCTGAGGCTCCTTTTGCTCTACAGCTATGGCCATTGAGACAGAAAGTAGGCTAAATTTTATTCTTTCGCAAGAAAAGAGTTTTTCTAATAATAATATGGTACAATATACAAAGCACTTTACCAACATTATGTCATTTTAGCTTCACAGTAGCCCTATTATAGTAGAGCCTAAAGGGCTTGTACCCATTTTGTAGATGAGGATACTGAGGCTCAGAGATTAAGTGACCTGGCCATGGTCCTAAAACCAGTGTATGATT